ATAGAACTTCTATTTCAAATGTTTTCGATGTTGGTGTCCAAACGTTTATGCATCCTTTTGATATTTAATTTTAAGGTTTACTCATATTTAACCATACAAATGCAAAAGGGTAATTTTTTCGGCTTATTTTGTGTTTCATCGCCCTTATTTTCAAAAAGTGATGCTGTCACGTGCAGCATTATTAGTAGCATCAAACAAACATGGCGAATAGGTGTCCAGTACAATGCATGTGTACCAATAATTGTCCACCTAATAACATTCAGTGTTTTAAACATATTTATTGCACAGAATGTGTGAAGCTGGTAGACAAGTCAAGACTTAAGTCAATACCGCTTCTGTTGTCATACAAAAGTCATCAATTATAATGTACAGTCAAGGGTAAGTAATAAGGTATTTATTTTTCATAAAAACACAGTTATCGACTCTGAATGTGCTGAACATGCTGGAGTGAGTGAGTGAGTTGGGTTGAACACTGCTTTTTAACATTATTCCAGTTATATCACGGAGTGTCAGCTTAATGTCGGTGGAAAGCCCTAAATGATGCAGGTCTCAAACGTTTACCACTTCAGTGAAAGCCACAAGCACAGGAAACATAATCGGAGCGAACTGGGATTCGAACCCACAATCATAGGTTTCTGGCGTGCCAAGGGACACAACTCTGCACAGCGAATCGCGGTGCCTCAGACGACTGGGCCACCCGTGCCCCCACGTGCTGAAGTAAAACGCTGTTAGCAAAAATAACTTACATGAGAGATTATAGGATAATTTGCATTAAAATGTACTGAAAATGATGCAAAGACCAAATTTGGACCAGTTGACTCAAAAGTTAATGGGTACAAGCACTGGAACTGGACACAGTTGGTCTGTGAGCAGCAGCATTCTACCCACAATGGTAGACACAGCCTGTAAATAATCAAGTCTAGACCAGGCAGACTTGTGGTTGATATATGAGCAATAGTGAAGGTCTGCCAATATTATAAGGGATGTACCATTTAATATTCTGGTGACAGCTTAAAATCTTTGTTAAAGACAGGATATGTTTTCAGTCACAATCAAAACATGCAAAGTAGATGCTGAACAATACATTGTTTTTTAACAAATCATTGTTTTTTCACGAAATGCAGAATGTCCGGCAAGCAATTCTGTTTTTATCTTCTGCCCCTTGGGGTACCTTTAACATTAGAGATCTGACTTGGACTAGCGGGCTACTTGCATCCTTGTTAACATTTGCCTATTACAACAACATGAATACTTGGCAAGGAATATTCTGGCCGAGAAAAAAACATGAAAGAAAATCATGGTCTGAAACAAATGGGATTTTTTCAAAATCAATGCCCTTTAAAAGTAAGCAAAGAAATAGCATTTTTGGTCCAATATTTAGTAATCATGGTAAAATTGATTTACCCAGATTAAGTGTTATCCATGGCAACTGGGTTTTTTTTTTCATTCATAAGTGGTATAATTCTGCTTATTCAAAATGACGACAGGAAGCACGGTAACAATCTTGACTGTTGTTAACATTGTTGCTGTTGTGCCAAAATATATATGTGCATAACTATGATACAAGATGAAATAGATTACAAAATTCAAGTAAAAAATATCTGAAGAGAAAGTACCTCATTGCCAAGCCAGTTTTTGACAATAACACTCATCATGCTCATCCATTTGCTTCCAACCAGTACATTTTCTCAAGAAGCAGCGAAATGAAATAAATTGTGGTCCAGCTGTCAAGTGTTATTTATGGCACAGTGTTGATTATTTCCCGGAGATTGGAAATGGTGAATCTGTCCCTCCTACTTAACCAATATGTTTCCTTATATGTTAATATCAATTATTACATTCAACTTTCTTAATTAGAATGAGTGAACTTTGCTCAACACCATCTTCATTAGTATTAAGTTATTTCACTATTTATCAGCTTGAAGTGGAAGGAAAGCCTGAAGTGATGCAGGTCATAGATGAATACCACCTTGGTAAAAGCACAGGTATGGTGCTGACAAACCTAGAAATTACTGGGCCGAAAATGGGATTCAAACCCACAGACATAATTTTCTGGCACAACTAATGAACCAAAACTCTGCACAGATAATGGTGGCATCTTAGACAATTGAGACACCATGTCCTCTGCGCCTTTAGAAAGAGGAAATATTAATTATCACATGCAATGATGCACTCTCTTGAACCACTGAAGATCCACCATTAGATTATTCTACACTGACCATGCTGACGGTGATCACTGACTAGAGGACCTATCTATTCCGCCCTGGAGTTTCCACAAGGGTACATCAGAAGTCACTCAACCATAAATAGTATTAATTGAAAGTAATGAAGAAGAAGTTGATTATTGGGAAAAAGAATGTGAAGACACCACCACATTGTATGCACACAGCATACAATTAATCTTTTCATCTTATCAGATATGGAATATAAAATAACAGTAGTTGTATTTCTGACATGCCTGCATGATCATATATATTATATAATGTTTAAAAATTGACTTCCATATTTATTTGTGTTTTTGAAGGAATAATCGTTAAAGCCAGTGTACATACTATGTAAATCCACAACCTCATAAAATGAAGAAATCTTTCATTATGTACAGAGGTAGAAACTAACGGATTCAGTCCACTAGTCCTTAAACATGTTAAAATGATAACATATAGCATAACCCTTAAAAATGCCAAATTTCTACAAGTCGCTATGATACCTTAGCTATTGGGCAGTTGACAAGGACTACAGGACTAGTGCCAATTTCTAACGCTGATGTATATATGTTCATCATTCCTCATCATAAAATCAAGCCATCTTCCATATGTGCACAGTGGAATCTGACCAAATCAGACTGTCAAATTCGGATTTTGGTGAAAAACAGACTTAATATCCAGTCCCCTCAGTTCCATAATAAATGTTCATTACTCAAACTAACCTACAACTCTCTCATTTAGACTTTTTAAACATTAGACTAAAATTACGGCCCCAACAACCAATTTACTATTGAAAAGCAGCTGTCAAAATCGGACTGGACCAGAGCTGAAACAACAATGCTAATCTTGCATGAAATACCATTGATCTTTGCACTTTATTGTCTAGTAAGTTAATTAGAATTTCTCACCTCTTAACGCTTAATGAGCAACTCAGAGTAATTAGATAAACTCAGTGTCATGAGCATGTCAATAAATAATGGTAAACACAGATTGTCATAAGCATGATAAGTGAACCACCTCGGTACTTCACTTCCATGCCAGCCCATGTCAATATTTCATGTACAATGTATGTGTATGCGAATAAAGATGAAAGATATTTGCTTTTCATTGTATCTACAGTCCAACTTTTTGTACTCTGTATGACGGCCATCTGTAAATAATCAAGTCTAGGCCAGACAATAAAGTGATTGACATCATGACAGGATGACCTTGTCATAAACCCAACTTTTTTATCAGTCCCAAACGAGTCCAAATTGGACTGATTCCACTGTATATGTACATCATTACTCATCATAAAATCAAGTTCAGGCTGTCAATACCACATTTTCTTCTTCCTTACCACCTAGAGTTGCTTCAAACAAGGAAATACAATGACATCCTTAAATTCTTGGAAGTCAAGTGCAGTGTGCCACATGGAGCCAGACATAAATTAGTTCACACTGACAGCATTTAATGTCCACCGACTACAGTAGTTCTCGCCATTTTTCCTGTGTTTATTTTTAAATATTATGTGAAAAAATTTGACTGTACCAATAACTTTGATTTTTGTGAAACTATTAGCAAATGCGTTTATTTCTGTCCATGGAAAAGGTTGGAGTCTATTTTTGTTATAACACGACGACCGAGAATCAAAAGAGTGGAAATAGGACTTTAATTCTCATCAACTAACTGTACAAGTTATTGCCATTGGATAAACAGCACATGATCATGCACACCTCTTAAGTTATACATATAATATCTGGTAATACCTCTGGTATAACATTCAAATACTTTATTCAGTCAAATTCGATCTACAGATGCTTTTCCATGACATTATGTGCATGTACTATGGATTTCATGATATATTCAGGTTATGCGTATACAAAGATCATATATTTAAGGAGAAATGAAGCAATGACTGAAATATATATGCATCATCATGGTGGTTTCTTTTGTTTATGTGTGAATTAGTTATGTGACACCGCTGTGTATCTTTTCGAAAGTTGTATATGAACTAGGAGCTTATATGATTTGTTTTTTTAGCATGTTTAGTACTTCCTAACCATGCTAACAAGAGTTAATTTTGCTGATCATTTCTGGATATACATGGATCGCTTATTTCGCAATATTTTCATCATCTCAACTTATTAACATGTGTCTGGCCATACATCACTGAATTACTAATAAATATTCAAGGATCTTACTAAGGTAGGGCCTAAACATTGCAAAATAATCACAATCTTCAGCTGCTAATTATTTGTGTATCATTAGGCAATATATTAAATCATCTTATTTCTTTAATATATGAAGAATCATGTGTTTACCAATCATTTTCCAGAAAGAGAGGGTTTATCCATGCCTAGCTAACACAATCAGCTGTGTATTGTGTAACCTACAGTAAGCATAGCATAAAGGTTATGTCAGTGCATTTGGACCGAATAGACAGCATTAATAGGATGGGGAAGGGGATAACAGAACAAAACCAACAGTACACTGTCACTGTCAAATGTCAATGAACTGTCGTTATGCCTTCATAATAGTGTAGAAATGCTGTTCCTGTAGATCGAACATCTGCAGTGACAGGTGACATTGACTTCAGATCTGGGGAATTTGAAATCAGTATGCTTAGCAAATTAGTAGGTAATGATATCCGTTTTCAAAAGATTCCTTGAAACACCACCTATGCACACATCACCACATTCTGGGCGACATATGACAGAAAACAAGAGAACGGTATATGTCCCCAAACGCCCCCTCATTGAAACCAGATTGATCACAAATGATGCCGATTCGGCTCGCTTTCACAGATGTACCCACCGTAAAATGTATTCCTTCTACGCTTCCGACTGCATAACACTGTTCTCCGGAGTTGCAGGCCCCTGTAAGGACCTGGTGCCGGTTCATTCTTTACCGATCCTTCCACAAATATGAAAATCGTTTTGACATATTCATCATAAACATGACGAGATCGCTAATGTCTCGTCCGTCGCCATTTTGACACAACTTGTTCTACCTTCCTTCCAACTGTTTCCACCAGTTATTTATTCATCTGTGCGTTAGCACAAGAAATTCATTCTCATATTATTTTGGCAACAGATATTCCCTTAATTAAATACATTGAGATCTATAATTGTTTGTGAATATATTTACATATTTGTGTATATCATATTTCTTTCTGTGAATAGTCATACAAATGTAACGACATAAATGCACAGCGAATGAATGATGTATGATCAGAATGAGAGTTGGCTTTGCAATATAAGGTTTTGTATTTGACCTTCTCTCCGTCTCATCTGTTACACTATAAGATTGCTCAATATGCGCTGACGGATTTTTCTTCGCAGTGGAAAGTAGATCAAATCTATATTTATATCTTTTGGGGAAAAGCTCGCGCTTATTTGGCATCAATCTAACGACGGGAATGCGAGAGTGCTTAATGATTATAGCAGCTATCCGTATTTATGAAGATCGCACATTAAACCATACAAGTGTACAAGACTCAATTGCGAGACGGACTGGATTATTAACAAAACGACGTGACATAACATGAATATTATTTCACTCACTAAAAGAGACACGACTGTATGCCAATACGGGTGAATCTAAGTTCCGCACGTGCGCGCGTTTTCCCCAAATGATAATCAGTGGTTTGATTGACTGATAATGGTTATATAGGACGTATATGAGTTGGGTTTAACGCCGCTTTGAACAATATTCTAATCATATTACGGCGTCTCAGCCCAATATGAGGCAGGTCTCAGACGTTTACCACTTTGGTGAGACCCACGGGCACGGGTTTGGTGCTGACACACCAAGAAACATAATCGGGGCGAACCGGGAATCGAACCCACAATCATAGGTTTCTGGCATGCCCATGGGCGCAACTCTGCGCAGCGAATTGCGGCCCCTTAGAATGCATATATGCGTCTATTTATCTTAAAATACTCTTTGAAAGTTGCAGACTCGACTAACTGCACTACCATCCACTCAAAAGTCCAAGTGGAATAATGCCACGAATCCATATTTAACATTATGACTTAGTCTTAACTATATATGTATGATTGTGTGCACAAGTGAGTGGGTGTGTGAGCTGTTTCCTTGCTTCTATGAATATAGCGAGCTAAAAATTATGACAGCCATCGAGCCATACTAATTTTATTTGTTTGTTGTTTAACGCCGCACTCAGCAATACTCCAGCTATATGACGGCGGTCTGTAAATAATCGAGTCTGGACCAGAAATTCCAGTGATTGACATCATGAGCATCGATTCACGCAATTGGGATACGATGACATGCATCAACCAAGTCAGCAAGCTGGACCACCCCATCCCGTTAGTCGCTTCTTACGATAGTCCCTTTTAACGGACAGCGTGGGTTGCTGAAGACCCATACTAATTTTAATAAGCTGGAAGACCTAAAATTACACGTTGCCGGAACACATCACAATGAAATTCTTTTTTCTTGATTAAACGTATCATGAAAAACAAACGACTAATTGTGAAAACCTCATCTCGACCTGCCTTTTATTACACAAAACTACACCTTATCCATTAAGCAAATGGCGGCACCAACAGCGACGTCGAACACACGGACAGATCACGGGTCTTTCTGCCGCCACTTTAATATATATTATATAGGATAGTGGGTTCGCTCCAAATTGTCAGACGCCCCAATTGCCAGACGTGCCAATCATCAAGTGTGTCAAATATCACAGCCTTGTCTTACCTACTTAATTAATGAGCATCTCCAAACGGTGAGAGGATTAAGATACTTTAACTCGTTAGGTGATACAGATTAACCAGATTATTAATCAGTTTTTATAAGTTGTGTTTGATCTTTGCCCGGTTTTTTTTTCAATGATGGGAACATGGGACTCAGTGTATGTTAATAAAATCGTTTGTCCTCAGAGTTTATTTTGCATTTTTATCAAGCGAATTAAATGCTAGAAAGGACAAGAACGCATTAAAAAGATTAACTTCTCCATATCATGAACAGAACAGACATTAATTCAAAAAGTAAACTTGGGCTACAAGCTCTGTTATTGTGAAACTTTGGACATATTAATAAGAAATGTCTCTTTGCCATTTACAAACCAATTTTCCCCATTTACGTAAGATACCTCTTTTACGAAAAAACATTACTTTATGAGTATAATCCCACATGTGGTATATGTAGGGTTTCCATGCTCGTGTAAACCGCAGTCTCCCACATCAGCAGTCCAACCTCTACAGATTTGTTCAACTGGTTTTCAAGGGATTGAGAAGACAGGAGAAGCCAAGTTGACCTAGATACAAGGTTACAGAGAATCTGAGGAAGACTGCTGCGTCTGAAGAAGAAGATGTGCACTGGGCAGAAGACTCCTTGAATTTTTGGAAGAGGTTTTACATTTGCTAAAGCTGGGTTGAGCAGTAATAGTTTGGTTCTCCGTCATTTGTGTAAGGCTGTTCCACTTCACGCTAAGGCAAACAAGTAACAATTACCAGTGCACTCAACCTTACATAATCACGGTATAAGCCGTCCGACAATTGGGAGGTTACCGGATAGTGCATTTCTGACACTCGTGATATTAACTGACCTGGAAATATTAAAGCAATAATACAAAGGGTTGGTGGGATAGACCAATGTGTGAAATCCAACCGTCTCTTCGACATGACGATCAAATGCTATTTTTTTTAAAACAACAGGCTTCCATCCAGTTATTATATTTAGGGATTTAGTGCTTAAAGGTATAGTTCAAGTGGAAATTACTGCAATTTATTGTTCCCAATAGGCTAAATGTCAACAGTTCATGGTGAGGTGTAAAACATAAACAGCTACAAAAAAAGATGAATTGTCTACTGCAACGCAATGGGGAAAAAAACTTCAAAGTTCAGATACTTGACATGTAGTGATCTATTTTCTTGAATATTCCACTTAAATTGATCAGACTATCATAGATGTAGAACTATCACATAGACTGGGTGGCTAAGTTATATAAAATCCATTTAAATTTACAAATTCAGTTTACTGTTGACCGTATTTATACATTGTTATTAGTTCTGAGGTAAGTAGTTTTATATAAATCCGGAGTACCAAATGAGAGAATATGTTCAAACTACAACTCGAGTTAGGGTCTTTCGTCGTTCATATAGTGTACATTTATTTAATGTTGACCCTCAATTAATTCTTACCATACAAAATAGTTTTAGAAATGAAAACAGACACTTTCAAACGAGAACTTGCCGTATCACTTAAGGGAGATAACTCTATTATTATAAGTGAGAAATGTCGACGGTCATTTTGAATTTTCGTCTTTGAATCGGTCACGAATGAGTTCGATTCCCACTGACAAAAGTGTTTTTGAACATTCATTTTGTTCCAGACAACAACATGCAAGATGAAATGTGTTATTCTCCCAGTTATGAGAGAAACAGAACAAACAATGATGGTGGTGCATATATATTTTACTTATCCAAAATCTATAAATTCAGAATAACTATACTGATGGAAATGAATAAGGGAAACATGAAAGGTATAGGTTTATAAGCTTTACTGTCAGTACATTCGAAATAGCATGCATACAAATTCAACATATGTCAGAATCAAATGTTTTGATGTTTATGCGCATTGTTGGGAACCCATGATAGCATCATATACTGTGTCTAAAACTAAGTGTTCTCTTATTAATTTCCATCAGAATATTATAACTTGAAGGATTCAACAGCACACAAATAACATGAATTGCTTTTGAAAGAAACTGTTCTTCATTTGTTCAGTGCAGGACTTAGGCTTTACAAGGTGATGACAAAATAGGAAAGACACTGTGGATACAGAAGACATCCGATTCCAATTTTTTAATTCCTTCAGTCCTATAAAAATAATAGATTATTGTATTTCTTAAGATATATCCAAATACAGTTCTAATATTTATTCGATTTGCCCAAATCTATCTTACTTCAGTAGGTGACAAATGAAAGAAAATCAACTGAGGTAATAAACCAGTAGATAACTGGTATTCTTCACATCTGAGGTTAAAGATACACAGGTGACAACAGCAAGGAGTAACAAGGAAAATATAGTTATCCTTGTTCAACACAGTAGTCAATATATCAAGGTAATCTAAGAAGTGGCTTTCATGATCCAGGTGATATTTAGACCCTTGAAGATTCAGGGGTAGAATAGGTCTTCAGCAACCCATGCTTGTTGTAAAAGGCGACTATGCTTGTTGTAAAAGGCGACTAACAGGATCAGGTGGTAGGCTCGCTGACTTGGTTGATGCATGTCATCGATCCCAATTGCGTGGATCGATGCTCATGATATCAATCACTGGATTGTCTGGTCCAGGCTGGATTATTTACAGACCGCCGCCATATAGCTGTAATATTGCTGAGTGCGGCGTTAAACAACAAACCAACCAACCAACCAATTGTATTTTAGTTCCAACACCGATGCTTAATCCTGCACATGAACACAAAATAAACTCTCATATCACATCAGCAACACAAAATAAATAAAAACAGTAGTCCTTTTATAGCTGTGAATAAATACATATCAATCTAAAGAGAATCTCATGACATGTGACAAGTACACATATTGGGGAATTTGTCAAATTGAACCAAAGATACAGAAATCTTTTTTTAAAGATCAGACCATATTATTTAGCGTATTTTTTTGCGAAAGTAATAAAAGAAAATGATCTGTTTTGTTCTGATTTCTAAACATTATTTTGTTTGTCCAAACTTATGTTTTAAATTTATTTTAGTAATTCACCTGAAATCAACCATGACAACATCAATAAAGAAAACAATGTCTTCTAGAAATTGGTCAGAAGGATCATGATTCCTTGTCACAAACATCTTGAAACACAACATTCAGTAATCATTAAACAACTGCATCGTTTTATCTACTTTGCTGAGATCATGGACAAGTATTATTTGATATGATGAAAGACAATTATATATGAAAGGCACAACAAAAACATCAGTGAAACAGAAGCACATTTGTGACCATGGTT